TCGGCGCGATCAGCGTCGGCGCCGTCATCGTCGCTGTCAGCATCGTCACCAGCATCGCTGCGATCATCATCGCGCACGCCGCTGTGGACGTTGCCACGATACCGCGCCCGCCCATGCCGCCGACTCGCACTGAAGTGCCCGTTAGGGTGCGCCCAGCGGTCAGCGCCACCGCGGCCGCGTCGGTCGCGCCAGACAAGCTGGCCGCCGCGCGCGCATGCGCGGGCTGGCGCGGCCGCAGAGATGCGCCAGCCAACGCCGCGCACTCATCGCAGTTGCCGCCGCGTGGGTTTTGCAAACCAAAGCGCGAGTGGGTGGGTGGGATGTTTGCAAGAGCATGGGGAGTGCCAACTCGTTTGCACAGATTTCTCCTTCGCAAAAAAATGCTCTACCCCCCCCCCCCCCCCCCCCATCGGGACCATCTCCTTTTCGCACTGCAAATTACATGCGGGTCTGCCCCATCGCCCGTCCGGAACACGAATTCCTACCATCCCAGCCCAGCTGGCATCGCCCCCCCCTCGCTACGCCTACAAAAATTCGATGCGCTTACGCTCGGTTAGCAACATTCATAAGTTTACCAGAATCCCTTATGCGCGCGTCGTCGCGCGCGCATGCCGAAATCCTTCAAAAACCAACGGCGTCGCGAGGATCTCAAAGCCGAGTGACCAAAAACATGTGGAAACACCGGATTTCACAACGCGGAGTCGCTCCATTTTTTAACCAAGAATGCTCGCGCGCGCGTTCTTGAAACTTCTTTAGAAGACCATAGGTTTGACAATGACAGAAAATGCTACCAAACGGGCTGTTGCGCGCGCGCGCCGAAATCGCAACAACATGTGCAAACATGAAACGAAGTGCACGCGCGCGCGTCGTTGCGCGCGCATGCCGAAATGCGCCAAATAGCTTCGAAGGGCGTCCGAAAAATGCAAATAACACATGGCTCCGCAACAAAAAAGCGCGCTCGCGTTTTTGCTAATTTGTTTACGAAAACATGGGTTGTTCAAAACTGTCATGGAATTCTGCCAAATTGGCCTCTCGCTCCGCACGCCGACATCATTCGCGCGCCCTTTACGCGCGTGCTGGGTGGGGGGCACGATCTGCGTCAAATAATACGACGCGGGCGTGCGCGAATTTCGAATTCTTTCCAAAACCTCCATCGCCGACGCGAGGACGCCGTGATCGTCTTCGGCGCGATCAGCATCCGCGCCCGCATTGGCCGCGCACTTGTCGTTGCCAGCACCGTCACCAGCGCCGCCACCGATCATCGTCGCGCATTCCGCCGTCGACGTTGCCATGATACCGCGCCCACCCAAGCCGCCGATTCGCAGCGAAGTGCCCGGTGGGATGCGCCGAGCGGTCGGCACCACCGCGTTCGCGTCGGTCGCGCCTAACTAGCTGGCCGCTGCGCGCGCGCGCGTTGGTTGCCGCGGCCGCAGAGAGGCACCAGCCAATGCCGAGCGTGCATCGCAATCGCCACCGCGTGAGTTTTGCAGACCAAGTGGCGGGTGGGTGGGGGATGTTTGCATGAGCGTGGGATGCGTCAACCTGTTTGTTAAAATCAGTTGCGCACCATATATCGCACCGCATAGATAGCACCACGCACCTTGCACGACCTAGTTTGTACCACGGATGTTGCCCAACACAGATTGCACAACGTAGGATGCACAACATATCATACACGGCACACGGTGCCCAACATATATGGCCCATTCTGGGTCGCATCACGCAGGTGACACCACTTACGTCGCACCGCACATATCGAACCACATGGAGTGCACCACAGAGTTTCACCACATATATCGCACCACATAGATAGCTACAGACACAAAAATCCGGTCAAAACTGGCTAGCACACGCACACACGCACGCGTATGTGTGTATACATATCTATGAGTATCTACTCCTCTTCCTAAATTGTTACAAGTCCGGACGGGGGAAAAAAACGTCCCCCCCCAAAAGAAAATTGACTCCCGGGACCTGGGGCTCTGGGACCCTTCGGACGGGCCTCGAAGCGGCCCCCCGGGCTTCGCAGTGCGTTTGGCCAAGCCTTCGCAGCACACCTAGGGCGATCAGGGGGGTCATCGGAGACGTCCCAGAAAACCCCAAGACAGCACACGAGCGCTACGAGAAGCCGTCATACCCCGAAAGATCGCTCCAAAACGGACCAAGAGGCCTCCAAGAGCACCCCCAAGAAGGCGCCAAGAGGGAATAATCATAGATTAAATGTAGGTTTTTGGTGAATTTCGGGTTTTCCTCTTTTCGGCTTCCCGACGCTCCAAGACAGCAGCGGTCTTCTGGGCGTCCGAGTCGCCTGGGAGGCTCCAAAATCGCCCCGCAACCATCCGAAAGGGCTTCCAGGCAGTCCAAGAGAGCCCCAGAACGGCATAACAGGGGTCCAAAATGGCCCTAAGACAGCCCCATGGCGGCCCCAGATGGCCCCAAGACACCCTCCGAAGCATTCCAAATCGTGACCGGGGCGTTCAGGGAGACTGCGGTTAGAGGCAGGTTGGCCTTAGGAAGCCCCAGAGGCCCCGTGAGCACGCCCAGGAGGCCTCCAGAAGGCTTTAAGAAAGCCTGAGAACTTTGGTGAGGCCCCCAGAGGCTCTCCAGGGAGGAGCCTCCGCAAAAAGAGCTGAGGAGGATGGGGAGAATACCCAGGGTATGGCGAGAATGAGGACAAATAAGCATGGAGGATGGATAACGAACAACATCATTATAACGGCGATGCCAGAAAAGGCAGCAAGGAGTTATCGCAAAATTGTCCGCTTGACCTTCCTGCCATTTCCGCCTGCATACCAATCTTCAAGGACCAAGGCGCATGTCGCGAAGCGCCACTGCAGTCTTGCATACATATATATATATATATATATACACGCACACGTTCCCCAACCCGTGTTTTTTGCTTGTTTTTTTGAGGGGTTCGCAGTTCTGTTCTCAGGACTTGGGCTGGCGCTCCGCGCTGGCGGCTACGTCGCCGCCCCGTCGCCGTCTCGTCGCCGCCCGTCGCTCGGGCCGGTCTGTCGCTGTAGCGGCCGCGTTGTCGCCGCCACCGCCCCGTCGTCGCCAGTCGCCGCCGGTAAATTGCTCCGCGCAGACTGCGCCTCATACATTGCCCCCCCCCCCCAAAAACACACACACACACACACATAGCATGCACTAGATAGACTGCACCACAAACGTTGCACCACATAGGTTGCATCACATTGCTTGCACAACATAGATTGCACCACTTCGATTGCACGACCTAGATTGCACCACATAGGCTGCACGACAAATATTACAGCACACGGATTGCACAACATAGGTTGCACCACAAACATTGCACGATAGAGATCGCATCACTTAGATTGCACCACATAGGTTACCCCCACATAGATTATCTTTTCGATTTAGAAAACACTGTACCCCCCCGGCCCCCACCTCCCCCGGGATGATCACATCCCCTTTTCGCATTGCAATTTCCGTGTGATTTTGCCTCTTCGTCCATCCTAGATATGAACGTACATCATCCCAGGGTGGGCGGTACCCCCCCCCGTCATGCCCTGTAAAAAAATAGACGTGCGCACCCTCGTCTCTCAAAAACCATAAGTTTACAATAATCCCTTGCAGCAAATGAAACGAAGTGCACGCGCGCGCGTCGTCGCGCGCGCATGCCGAAATCTTTCAAAACCTAAGGGTTCGTCTGAGTTTCAAAATCGAGTGTCCACAACACATAAAAGTAAAAGGTTTCGCGACGGTGTTTTAACCTCAAAATAGGCGCGCGCGCGCCATAGGTTGATCATCAGTTTCAGAACATGGTACCAAACGGGCTTCGCGCGCGCATGTCGAAGTCGTTCGAACGCCCTTGCGCGCGTGCCGTCACGACAACCCATGGCAAAAAAATAACTGCACGCGCGCGCGTCGTCGCGCGCGCATGCCGAAATCCGTAAACAAAATTCTTCAGTATCGCAGCGAGTTCAAAACCGAATTCCCAACAAACATTAAACAATGCTTCGCAACATCAGTTCTCAAGAAAGCGTGCGGTCGCGCTCTTGCGAAGCTTTGAGGAAACTGTCGTTGTGTCAACATATTCATGGGATTCTGCCAAACGGGCCTCTGGCGCCGCATGCCGACATCACTCACACGCCCTTGCGCACGCGCTGGTGGGGCACGATCTGTGTCAAATAATATGGGCTACTCTCGCGCGCTGGCCGCGCGCGCATGTCGAACTCTTTCCGCCGACGCGAAGACGCCGCTCTCGTCGTCGGCGTGACCAGCGTCGGCACCGTCATTGGCAGTGCCGTCGTCGTTGCCAGCATCGTCACCAGCATCGTTGTCATCATCATCGTCGTGTCTACCGTTGTCGACGTTGCCATGATACCGCGCCCGCCCACGTCGCCGACTCGCATTGGAGTGCCCGTTGGGATGTGCCGAGCCGTCCGCGCCAGCGCGGTCGCGTCTGTCGCGCCAAACTAGCTGGCCGCTGCGCGCGCGAGCATGCGCGGGCTAGCGCGGCCGCGGAGATGCACCAGCCAACACCAAGCATCCATCGCAATCGCCACCGCGTGGGTTTTGCAAACCAGGTTGCAGGTGGGTGGGTGGGATGATTGCGCAAGCAGTGGACTCGACAATTACAAATTCGGCAAAAAGAATTGTACCACATAGATCGCACCGACAAGTACAGCGCATCACCTAGAGTGCACGACGCGGACAGCAGATTGTACATTGCACGACCTATAGTGTAGAACATGCATTGTACCACAAAGCGTGTTTACATAGATTGTTCCACTTGAGTTACACCTCGCTGGATGCTCAAAATGGGTAGCCAAACTATATTGCCAGAAACACGAGATTGGGTCCACGGTGCGTAGCCTATATATGTATATACATATAGACACATGTCGATGCATGTGTGTGCGTTTATAGGTGTAGTTATGCAGACATGCATACGTGATATAGGTGGTATGCGTGTGTGGACATACTTATACCACCACCAAACAACTGTGTTGAAACAGTGCTTCCAGGCAGCCGCCGCGGCGGGGCAGAGCGCCGTCCCGCCCCCTGGCGGCGGAACCGTACGTGTGGGCTTGCGCCGAGCCGCCCGAATGGTTATGGATTCAACGAGGCAGGGTCGCGGGTGAGCACGCTAAGCCAAGCAGTGGCCAGCGAACGCCCCCACGTACCTTCCTTTCTTCGACCTCCCTGTCCACCCAAACCATCAAAACCCCACGTGGGTGGGATGCGAGCACAGGCACAAGCGGGCAGTATAAGGGCCAAAGAGTTGCTGGAGAAGTTAGGGAAACGCAAGTCGGCAGTCATAAGTGAAAGTAGAGTTGGTCTCAGGGCAAGGACCCAGGGGCCTAAGACAATTGCCAAGTGTTTGTGCTAAGTTGTATGGCGCCCGAGGGGATGATTGGCCCAAGGCTCTCATCTCCCCCGATCTGTATACATTCAGAATGCAGAGACCTTTGCAGAGCCGACGAGGGCCCTACAGGGTCCAGTGGTCCAAGGATCCCTCGGGCGCTGCCAGGGCCCCCGAATGGTTCACTGCTAGCAGTTGCTGGTGCTCCAAGATGAGCGCCAGTTTTCTCGAGCGTTGCCGAGCGAACACAGACTTCCGAGCGTTGCGAACTCATCCCTCCTCCTCCCTTCTCCGTACTACTCCCTCATCATCTCTCCTCCTCCTTCCTACTCCCCTCCTCTGTCCTTCTCCCTCCTCTTCCTCTTCCCCTTTCCACTCCTGTTCCCTATCAGTAACTCCCCCCTGTCGCACCCCGAGGCTAGTCGGAAGGGGCGGGCCGGGCGTTTTGCTCTAGACTTGCTTCGGAAGCCTTGAGACGGGTTCAATGCAAACGAGGGTCAGCCAGAGCGCCCGATCTTGCAGGATCTTGCAGGGCCAGGGTCGCATTGAACGAGGTTTGGGTGCAGGATTATGCAGGATCTTGCAGGATCCTTCGCATTGACCCGGGTTTGGGTGCAGGATCTTGCAGGATGTTGCAGGATTCTGCAACGCCTGACTGACCCGGATCTGGATTGACCCGGGTCAGAAGATCCCCGATTCCTTACCATGTATGATCTTGAAGCCTAAAAATGTGCAACAGCTTCAAAGATGGAGGGCGGGCCGTTTCTAGAATATGGTTCTCGCCTCAGCGCCGCGCATATTCGTTTGAAGCACCGTAAGGATTTCACGGATCGAGGGCGGGCAGTTTGCAAAGTGTGGTTCTCGCCTTCTCGCCGCGCACATTCGTTTACGAGTTCCAAACGTGTCACAGATGGAAGGCGGCTGTTTTCAAAATGGGGTTCTCGCCGTAACGCCGCGCACATTTGTTTGAAACTGTCGCAATGGTTTCACGGAATCGCATGGTTAACGTATCATGCATGGCGTTTCGGAACGATTCAGGGTTGTTAGGGCGCAACAGTTACGATGATTAGCAGTGCTGAAGTCCCATGAATGGTGTTGTGTCACGGTTCAGGATCATCAATAGGCAGCCGTCATGTTGAATCGTGGTGTTGAAGTTCCTGGGGTGTCTTGGCACGATGCAGGATCTTCAAACGGTTGTCTCCCAACGGGGCACTCCTCTCAGTGGAAATGAATATTTGTGTGGGACCCATAAAAGGGAGCTTCGAGGAAGGGCTTATTATAACATCGTTGATGGGTCTTGGTTGAGCAGTGGTCTTCCTTCTCGTCCTCCCTCCTTCTCGTCCCTCCTTTTCTCCCCACCCTCATCCTCCCTCTCCTCTTCCTCCCTCCTCCTCCCTGCTCCATCCTTCTTCCTCATCCCTTCTTCTTCTTCCTCCTCCTTCCTCCTTCCTCCTTCCTCTTCTTCAATTCCTCCTCATCATCCTCCTTGTACTCCTCTTCCCTCCTCCTTGCGCCAGCATGGTCGCCATCCCTGTTGGGATGCCACCATCAGGACCCATCAGGTGAAGAGTGGGTGATGGCCAGCAGGCGCGGTCACTCAGAGGTAGAGCATCGCCTGGTGCTCCGCGCTGAGCACCGCGACACCGTGGCTATCCATCATTCCCTTATGTAGGAAACGAGGTTGGTGCGCTCACTCACCCGACACCACCCTACCGCCACCATACAGTGTCTGGTGATGGCGACCGGCCCGTGCCCTGACTGACAGCCGTGGCAATCCTCCGCCCTCCTACAGTGGAGGCCCATGCCAAGAAACACCCTGCTCGCCTCCAGGGTGCCCTGGGTTTCTTGGGTTTCGATGGTTTTGCAGTGGAAGGTGCGACGTTCCCAAGCCGAAAATCCATGGACGTCCTGGGGGAGTTGGATTCCTTGTGGAAGGTTTCTTGTGGTCGAGCCCCTACTCAGAGGAGGAAAAGGCATCGATACCGCTACTCGCTCCTTGTCGTCAAGGCTGGACTCGCCCCGAGAAGCCTTGGCCAGAGCGCACCCCTTGAGAGATGGGCAACCCCAAGCCGGCCAACAATAAGCTCCATGGAGGGCTTCCCCAGAAGCTAGCACGAGAGCTCCTCCTATTCCTCCTCCTCCGCCTCCTCCTCCTCCCCCTCCTCCTCCTCCACCTCCTCCTCCTTGTCACACGTGACACGGCCTTCGGAGCTGGAAGTTTCGTCAACCAGAGTAATGAGCTGGCACGGTGGAGGGGCTTGCCGCAGGCGCCTGGACAGCGGATGAATGAGGGGGCCAAGGACGGAGGGAGACGAGAGAGGAAGGAGGGAAGGCGTGCAGGATGGCAGCCCAGGAGCAGCCGTATCGGTATTTCTTTTGTCCCCCTACACGTTCGGGCCAGCCGAACTTCGCACTTCGGGGGCCGGCGTGCGTGGCTTTTTCCGCCGCGCCCCGCCGCTCGCTGCCCTGGTGCCCGCTGGTTTGCCATCCTGGAGCGGGAACGAAGAAGTTAAAGAGAATCTGCATTGGACGGACCCACACCTCCTCTCAGGAGGGAAAAAAACACACAGACACAATTAATCGTCCACTCCCAGGAAAATATGGGAAAATATGGGAAGTGGGGGGGAAGACAAAAGCCCAGAAAATATAAGAAAATATGGGGAATCCTTTTATTTGTGTGTATTTAGTTGTGTGTCCCAGGGCCCCTTCATCCTCTCGTTTCGAAAAAACACGACGGGCGGTATTGGCCGTTCTCGGCCTCCGGTAGCCCTCACCGGGCCCTCGGATCGTCAAACGACGACTCGGGATGAAAAGCCGGTCCCTGGTGTAAGGGGTTGGGGGGGTCCACATTGCGGAAAGTCACTGCGTCGGAGTTTTGGGAAAGAGGTCTTGGAGGCGGTTCGCCCGGTCGCAGGCTCCTGGGGCTCCTCTGTGCCCGTGGGCAACGAAGGAAGGACTCCCGGGGGCACTCCTGGGGAGCCCAGGGCCCGTTTCCACCGGGACTCTTTTTGCATCTTCCTTCCTGGCCGGGATCTGTATATGCAGTGCCGTTTTCAATACATGCTCCGCGTGCGGATCATGTATAATAACAAATGCAGGGATTTAGTATTAAAAACAACGATGAGTTCATGCATATATTCATTCCTAGATTCATCATGTATTCAGAATCCCATATGTTTTTGAACATCCCATGTATAAAACATTGCCCGGTGTATGCAGTTCTGTAATGTTCTCGGCGGGGATTCCTGATTTCCTCTCGTGTATCCAAAATCCCAGATGTTTTTGAAAATCCCATGTATAAAAAAATTGCCCGGTGTGTGCAGTTCTGTAATGTTCTCGGCGGGGATTCCTGAAAATACCTCTCGTTTCTCCCCCCTTCGCCCTGGTTCTTCCCCCCGTGCTTTCCCCGAAGTGCATGTCGGGCGCGAGGGCCCCGTCCAGGAGCCTCACGCAGGAGGGGCGCGTCGGATCCGTGTCTCATACGCCGAGCCCGTCCAGAGCAGCCGGCCGACCTTCACGCGCGGCAAAGGCGGGCTCGAGGAGGAGGACGAGGAGACGAGGACGAGGAGGCGTAGGAGGAGGACGAGGAGGACGAGGACGAGGTTCGAGGCGTAGGAGGACGAGGAGGGCCTCTCCCTTTCACAGGAGGAATATGCAAGAATTGTCAACAGAATAGCCAGGGGACGATGTTTCTATAGTTTGCTGTCCCACTCGTGAGTAGGTTTGAATATTTTTACGCTTCTTCCAGAATCCGCCTGCAGGAGGGCACGCCCGACCTAGGCGTAGGAGGACTTTCTTTCGAGGGGGAGGAGAATGCGTCAGAGAAAGCTTGTATACCAACGACCATCATGGTGTCCCGAAGCAGACGGCAACAGGAACATGAGGCGCATGAAACGCGGCCCCGCCGTTCCGAGCAGAATGGTAAATGTTCCTTGGAGGGAACACTTGTCTTGGAGGGCGAGGTGCGAGGATGATGAAGACGAACATGTTTGCTGTCGGTGGCATCGCTGTGAAGAAGGGGCACATGGTCTTATTACCAGGTCAGCCCCTTTTGCGATTCAAGCCATATCATACGCAACATGGTTGAAGGCCCCTCCGAGAAGGGTAGGATGATGAATAGTTATGAGCATCGCTCTTGTAATAGAACCCTTGAGCGCAGGCATCACGCATACCGATATTACCGCGACAGCGGCACGACGAAGACAGGGAATTGTGGTGCATCGGGAGCACGGGCGACCGATCCCTCGTGTTGAGAGTGTGTCCCCAGAAGTTGTTGGGAAAGAGGCACCCGGGCGCCACCAACGTCAGTTGGCGGGCGCCCGCAAGTTCTGCGGCCCACGCAATTAATGACACATGCTTGAGCGGCAACTGCAAGATTGGAGTGCAATTTCCAGCACGATTGCAGCCCCACTGGTTGTGAGACCGCCTTCCTGTGCGCTAGGGCGTGCTATCACTGTTGGCGAGCAGCCCGGGAGAATATAACAGGAGCCGAAAGAGGCACTCGTCGAGGTCAAGGCTGTGTGGACACTCTGCAGATTGTCTGGTTGCCATCGTCCCATCGTGCAACGGGGCCCGGGTCGTGGCCAAGGAGGAGGAGGAGGAGGAGGAGGAGGAGGAGGAGGAGGAGGAGGAGGAGGAGGAGGGGGAGGAGGAGGAGGAGGAGGAGGAGGAGGAGGAGGAGGAGGAGGAGGAGGAGGAGGAGGAGGAAGAGAAGTCTCAGGGGTCTTTTGGACGACCCCGGGGGCACCGCGGGGAGCTCTCGGGGAGCTCTTGGGAGCCTGGAGGCGGTCTGGTGGGCAGTCCTACAACCTGGCATCGCTCGGACGTGTGCATTTTTTCTCGGCGAGGGCCATCGAGGGGCATCCTTGATCACACGGCGAAAAAAGCACGCACGAAACCGAAACAAGCACACACGGAATGGACGTCCGAGCGATGACCAGACAAGCCTCGTCAAAAATTAAGCAGAAGGTTTCTGAATCCGGTGATTGCGGGGTCAGCGCTGCTCCAAGGTTGACGGATGCCCGTTGACTCGGGCGCGGTGTTGCCCAAAAACCGGCCCCACCCTCTCAGCATTGAAGAGCGCGGTTTCTGACAAGTGCCCGAAAGCATCGTGTTCCAGGATTTCACCTTCCATTTCTGGATATGTTTGACGAGGCTTGCAGGGTTAATTCGGGCATGTCGCGCTACTGGAGGAATATTCCAGCATGGTCGAAAAATTGTCTGGGGACGATGTTTCGACTATTTCTGACTATGCCTGAGCATATTGTTGCCTGTGTTTGATTTGTCCTCCACAACCCGCCCGTAGGAGGACACGCCCGACCTCATCCCGGGGTGTCGGGCCCCGGAGGCCCTGGCGAGCTCCGCCCTTCTGAAGTCGGGGGCGGAAAAGAGGGGGGTGATGACTAGGGGGGGGGGGGGATATTACGCCAGGGGGCATGAACACTTCCCCAGATGTCATGGCGCCTCTTCTTTTATTTCAGTGCGGTGCCAGCCCCCCCGCTGGGCCGCGCACGTGCCGCCGGCCATGATTTGTACCCCTCCTCCTCCTCCTCCTCCTCCTCCTCCTCCTCATCCTCTCCTCCTCTCTCCTCCTCCTCCCCTCCTCCTCCTCCTCCTCCTCCTCCTCCTCCTCCTCCTCCTCCTCCTCCTCCTCCTCCTCCTCCTCCTCCTCCTCCTCCTGGCCGCTCCCGATGACGGGGCGCTGCGCGGGCCCTCCCCAGAGCTCCGGCGGTCTGCTGCCTTCCGTCTCGGCGCGCCGTTATGCTGCGCTCGGTCGGGCGGTGCGCCACGGGGGGCGGCGCGTGGGGGGGTGAGTCAGGAGGGGAAAAAACACACAGACACAATTAATCGTCGACTCCCAGAAAATATGGGAAAATATGGGAAGTGGGGGGGAAGACAAAAGCCCAGAAAATATAGGAAAATATGGGAATATTTTTATTTGTGTGTATTTATTTGTGTGTCCCAGGGCCCCTTCAGTGAGGAAGGGCGCACCTCCCGTGCCCCGACTGGACCCCCCGCGGGGCCGAAGAGGGGCACGAAAGGTGGCTCGGACGCATGCGTTGTTTCTCGGCGAGAGCCATGGAGGACGATCCTGGACCATCGAGCAGACAAAAACACGCACGAGACAGAAAAATGCACGGGAAATGGACGTCCGAGCGATGGCGAGTTGTCGCCCCCCATGAATGAGCGCCCGATTCGGCCTCCGGGGCCGGGGACCATCAGAACCTGATCCGTGGCAGAACTCGGCCCTCGGGGGAGCGATCGGCGTTTCGCACGGGGCCGCGGCTTGAAAAAGTCGCATCGGCGGAAGTCAGGGTTTTGGGCCTCGGGGTCTCTTGGGCCGTCTGGGACGCTGCTCAGGCCGAAACCAGACGCACGCAAATATTTCGACCACGCAGAATCTGGAGGCCTCTCTGGGACCAGCCCCCGAGGCCTTCAAGACAGCTCCATAGGAACTCCAGGACGGCCTTGGGGCCAGCTTAGGGCGCGTATGCGGCATTATCTCCACAGTCTACCTATGGGGGTACTTCTCTGCGCAGCGCGCGCATACGCATCCCATACGCGATTCAGCACATCAGGTGTTGAGCATGGTCAGTCAGGGCGAAAAACATATCGGTCTCCACGGCCTCGCCAGCCGGGCCCTCGGGCCGCGACCCCGGGAATACGGGGCGTTTTCTCGCGGATTCCCAGCGCGGAACGTATCCGTGGGACCGCGCATCTTCGGCGCCCCGGAAGTCAGGCCGCGAGGGCGCAGATGCAGATATGGACGCCTCTGGAGGCTTCGGATACGAGTTCGGGAGCATGTTGTAAGTCCAGACTCCCAAACCACGCTCACGGTGCCTCGGGAAAGACCAAGATGATAAGTCCCGACGGGGCACAGAAGCTAACAAAGGCGCCCTGGAGTTCCGGGGATCCCGGGGATCCCTCCAAAGAGCGGGGAATGTTGGTCACAGGATGTGGGTTCGGCCAGTTGCAGTGTCGCGTGTAGATGGCGTTCTCTCACGCGGGTGCAGGCTGCACGCCCGGTGCATACGATGCGGCACTCCAGCACAGACGCCGTGCAAGCTTCTGTTTGTCGCATCAGCCCGCCTCCTCTTTACGCTCACAGGAGGATTCTGCTGGATTCTGCTGGTCGAACGATCACGATGCCCCATGGAGTCGCGCCGCGGGACGTCCTAGCCGCATCGGGCCGCCCCCGAGCCGAGCCAGAGCGCCGTGCCCTCTGAGGGCTTACGTCAAAGGGGCTTCTCTCACAGAACCTTCCGCGAGCTGATCTCGGCGTTGTAGCCTAGACTGGCTCGTCGGATCCCCGCGGCAACAGCGCCTGTTGCCGCTGCTTTGGTTCTCGCACGACCCGATCCCCGCACTGTAGTTGAGATCCTTTCCGGCCCCATGATCCCCGAAGTGTTTTCGCATGAGTTGATCTCAACCCTTCGGCGTAGAACAGGTCTGACGATGTTGGGCTCCAGCTTCGTTCCCCGCTTCTCGCAAGAGGCGTTCGACTGGCTCTCGATGAACTGCAACCCTGCCTCGCACGATTGCTCCCCAGCCTTCCGCACACGAGCTGATCCCAGCAGTGTAGTTGGTGATGTGCGCCCCTGTACTTGCGTGAACGACTGTTCTTAGCGGAGTTAGTTAGATGCCATCAGGCTCTATCATCGCCTCCCACTTCTCGCAGCCGTTTTCTCGCAGCGCCAGGGTCTGCGGGGTGCATTCCCTTGATCCACGGCCACTGCGCGCCCCCTTCTCGCACGGACTGCTCCCAGCGTTGTAGCTGATCGTGGCCCACCCGCGCGTTTCGCTCAGCACCAGCGTCCGCTGCCACTGCGCTCGCCCTTTCTCGCACGGACTGCTCCCAGCGTTGTAGGTGATCGTGGCCCACCCGCGCATTCCGCTCAGCACCAGCGTCCGTTGTAGCTGATCGTGGCCCACCCGCGCGTTTCTCTCAGCACCAGCGTCCGCTGCCACTGCGCCCGCCCTTTCTCGCACGGACTGCTCCCAACGTTGTAGCTGATCGCCCACCCGCATGTTTTGCTCTGCACCAGCGTCCGCTGCCACTGCGCTCGGCCTTTCTCGCACGGACTGCTCCCAGCGTTCTAGCTGATCGTGGCATGCCCGCCCGTTTCTCTCAGCACCACCGTTTGCTGCCACTGGCCGCTCGCTCCCCTTCTCGCACGGACTGCTCCCAACGTTGTAGTTGATCGCCCACCCGCACGTTTTGCTCAGCGCCAGCGTCCGCTGCCACTGCTCGCTCCCTTTCTCGCACGGCTTGCCCCCGGCATTGTAGCTGATCGTGGCCCCCATGCACGTTTCGCTCAGCCTGCCTCCAGCATCTCGCGTTCAAGCCAGAGCCTGCTGCCACTGCTCGCCGTTCTCGCACGCGCTGGCTTCAACGCTGTAGCTTAGGACGTCAGGCTCTAGCTTCGTCTCCGTGACTCGGAGTCTAGCCAGCGCCTGCTGCCACTGCTCTTTGCACTCGCGCGCTCTTTCGGCGTTGTAGCTGGGCACGTCGGGCTGTTCCTCTACTTTCGCCCACCCACGAAGCCAGGCCAGAGTCTGTTGCCGCTGCTCGCTCTTCTCGCGCACGCTGATTTCAGCAGCGTACCTGATGAAAGCGTCGGGCCCCTGCACTTTGTTGCCGCGCCGCGACACCCGTGCTTACCAGGAGGAGGAGGAGGAGGAGGAGGAGGAGGAGGAGGAGGAGGAGGAAGGAGGAGGGAGGGGGCGCGGAAAGGGGAGGACGAGAGGAGAGGAGGACATCCTGGCCCCTCTGCGTGAGCCTATTCACGGCTAGCTGGCTTGAGACCATGCCGCTTCTTGATGACCATGGTTCATGATGGCTCCCCAATGCAACGCCCGCTCCGAAGTTCGCATCGGGAACGCCCAGACCGGCCCACGCAGGGAGGGGCCGCTCGGGCGCGGGCCGGCTCGCTCACAGGAGGAGGAGGAGGAGGAGGAGGAGGAGGAGGAGGAGGAGGAGGAGGAGGAGGAGAAGGAGGAGGAGGAGGAGGAAGAGGAGCAGGAGCAGGAGGAGGAGGAGGAGGAGGAGCAGGAGTAGGAAGAGGAGGAGGAGGGGAGGACGAGGAGGAGGAGGAGGAGGAGGAGGAGGAGGAGGAGGAGTGGGAGGATGTAAAGCGCGGCGAGACACCCAGCGCAGCCCCCGCAGGCGGCGGCAAAGGCAGGGCCGAGCAGCCCCATATCTTCCCGAAGGATGGCGTAGGCCCGGGGCGGAGGGGGAAGACCGGGGAGGCACTGTTCTCCTGACAGCGGGGTCAGATGCTGGCATAGGTGGCATGCGATGCAGTTCTAACTACAGCAAAGGGCTGGAAACCAGTAGGATGAGTGCTGCACCCGCTTCCATGACAGGCAGCGCTTCCATCACGGCTCCTAGTTGGAGTGCCCTTCCCATCCTTAGTGCAAGTACTACATTGTATTGTGCATGCCCTGCAAAGACTGTTCGTTTTTGCGTTCATCACCACACGCGGCCGAGTTCGGAAATCAACATGTGCAGATTCTTATATGTCCTGATGTAAGGGCACAATTGTGTCAACGTACACTTGTGCATACTTACAAACATTTCAACGAGGTGGATAAGAATGAGAGTAAACAAGGCTTTGACGTTACACATCCTTGTCTGTGCAGTTATTTCCGTCATCTGCCCGCTCCCGCGTCGATGGTCCATCGGCCCCCCCTTGCCGACATGCACCGCTGCCCCTCCCCATCGTCTACTTAGCCTCCTTCGGAGAAGGAGAAATAATTACGCTCTCGCACACAGGCACGAACACACAGACACTGACACAGACACACATGCTGACACACACACACACGCACTTACACACATTTGTTTCCACCACACACTCCCCCAAACTTCGCCGGTACCTCGCGGGCTCGGACTGACGTCGAGCGGGTCGGCCACGCAAGCCTTGACCTTACGAATCGCGGAAAAAGAACCCGAACATATGTGCCACGAGACCCGCATAGGCCAGTTTGTAGAAGAGCCACCTCAGACGGGCCTGAAGGAACGTTTTTCCAACGTTCGCACACTAACTGTAGCCCCACAAAAGGCCATTCAACCAAAAAGAGGCATAGTCAAGACTAACAAATTCTGCCGTCTGAGGGCTCTGCGGAAATTGGCGCCAGCGGGGGGGCACTTCTCACATAAGGGGGTTCCCCCTGTATTGATTTCCTTTTCTGGTCAATATTCAAAAAGCGTTCGCCGCCGCACCGTCGGCTTTGCTTGGCTGGCGCGGCGTATCCATGTATCTACATCTATCCCCCCAGGCGCCGTCGCACCGATACGTCTGCGCATCTTCTGTCCGTCTATCTGCCCATCCCCCGGGCGCCGTCGCACCCTCGGCGCGGCTTGACTGGCGGGGGGCGTCTATCCATTGGTGGCGGCCATTTCTTCCAGTTACCCAAACGGAGGGGAATGGAAATGCTGCTAAGACCTGCCAAGGTTTACATGGCCGCCTCTTGGGCCTCGAGAATGAATATTTACATTGGGGTTTGATCATTGAGTTTTCAACTTAACATGGCCTCCGATTGTCTAAAACCAATACAGGATGCATCGCGCGCGCGCGCGCGGGTGACCCGGCCCCGCGCGGGTCACCAGCGCGCCCGCGCTCGCCTCGCATATTGTATTGTGTTTTCTATATTTGACGTTGGCATGGCCGCCTCTTGGGCCCAGAGAATGAATATTTACATTGGGTTTTGATCATTGAGTTTTCAACTTAACATGGCCTCCGATTGTATAAAACCAATACAGGAGGCATCGCGCGCGCGTGCGGGTGACCCGGCACCGCGCGGGTCACCAGCGCGCCCGCGCGCCTCGCATATTGTATTGTGTTTTCTATATTTGACGTTGGCATGGCCGCCTCTTGGGCCCAGAGAATGAATATTTACATTGGGTTTTGATCATTGAGTTTTCAACTTAACATGGCCTCCGATTGTATAAAACCAATACAGGAGGCATCGCGCGCGCGCGCGGGTGACCCGGCACCGCGCGGGTCACCAGCGCGCCCGCGCGCTTCGCATATTGCATTGGTTTGTTTCTTTCCCACATTTATATGGCCGCCTCTTGGGCCCAGAGAATGAATTTTTACATTGGGTTTGGACAATTGAGTTTTCACCTTAACATGGCCTCCGATTGTATAAAACCAATACAGGATGCATCGCGCGCGCGCGCGCGGATGACCCGGCCCCGCGCGGGTCACCAGCGCGCCCGCGCTCGCCTCGCCCATTGCATTGTGTTTTCTATATTTGACGCGGGCATGGCCGCCTCTTGGGCCCAGAGAATGAATATTTACATTGGGTTTTGATCATTGAGTTTTCATACTAACATGGCCTCCGATTGTATAAAACCAATACAGGAGGCATCGCGCACGCGCGCGGGTGACCCGGCACCGCGTGGGTCACCAGCGCGCCCGCGCGCCTCGCATATTGTATTGTGTTTTCTATATTTGACGTTGGCATGGACGCCTCTTGGGCCCAGAGAATGAATATTTACATTGGGTTTTGATCATTGAGTTTTCAACTTAACATGGCCTCCGATTGTATAAAACCGATACAGGAGGCATCGCGCGCGCGCGCGGGTGACCCGGCACCGCGCGGGTCACCAGCGCGCCCGCGCGCTTCGCATATTGTATTGGTTTGTATATTTTCCACATTTATTTGGCCGCCTCTTGGGCCCAGAGAATGAATTTTTACATTGGGTTTGGACAATTGAGTTTTCACCTTAACATGGCCTCCGATTGTATAAAACCAATACAGGATGCATCGCGCGCGCGGGTGACCCGGCCCCGCGCGGGTCACCAGCGCGCGCGCGCCTCGCATATTGTATTGGTTGTATATATTCCACGCTTTTGTGGCAGCCTCTTGGGCCCAGATAGTGAATATTTACATTGGGTTTTGACCATTGAGTTTTGAACTTAACATGGCCTCCGATGGTATAAAACAATTACACGATGCATCGGGAGCCCCGTGACCACGTGGAGCCGTCTTGGGGCGGTCTTGGAGCGTCTTGTACGCATGTTGGGAGCTATATTGAGTCATCGAGGGCTATCTTGAGCGATCTTGGAGGTCACCTTGAGTTCTCTTGGGCCCTCTTGGCGCCATCTTAGGCCATCTTCGGTGACCCAACGACCCGCGAAACGCCCCTTCCAGGCCCAGGGGGAGGGGGTAGGGGGAGGGGTAAACCCCTCCCCCAAGGGGCAGAAGGGGGTTGAGGACAGAGAGGGCTCTTTAAACCACTCACGCCCAAAGGGCTGGTGGGATTTTTATATTGTGTTTTGGCCATTGCGTGCGCTGCAGAGATGTGTGTGCATGGTGAAGGCCACGTTGGCTTTTCTCGGGCCGACGTATCCATGTTGCGACGACGTCTCAGGCGAAACGGCCCCAAGCGGCCCTGCAAAGGCACCAAGGGTGAAGCAGAATGGCTTCCCCATCCTTCCCACAGTCTATCTTAGGAGGGCGCCGGTAAACTATCGTACGGGCGATCGGTGACGCGGCCGCGCCCGGGAGAGGGAGCTACGTCGGCGTTTTCGGGGAGTTGTGGTGCTAGGGGGGGGGGGGGTCTGGCGGTGGGGGGGGGGCGGGGGTGGATGTGTAAGAGGTGCGGGAGGGGTGGTGGGTGGCGGGTTAGTGTGGTGTCTATTTTTTGGTTTTATGTTTTTGGTTCTTTTTTCGTTTTTTTTTTTTTTTTTTTTTTTTCCAATTTGTTGGTTTTTTTTGGTCTTTGGTTCCCTTTTTTTTTTTGCGTTTTTTGGTTACGTACTGTGCATCTGTCTGGCCACCCGCCGTCGCCGTCGCACCGAAAAAATTGCGCGCCACACGTGGTTGAACTTCACTGTCCACGGCGCGCCCATCGCACATCGCACAACTTTTTACAATAACTTCTCAATAGTTCCGTGCGGCGGACAGATCGTTTTTGCGTATCTGTCCCCGACGGACCCGTCGCCGCCGCATCGGGGTGATCATCGTTGGGGGAACCCCCTCATTACAAATCGTCCGTTTGCAACTCGAGATGGGTTTCCTTCGTCGTTTTGTACGCACAACGCAACTTTGCATTCGCCTTCTTTCAGAAAGATGCGCCGAACCGATTTGGTTTTCTATACGGTGGTGACGATGGCAATCTCATATGAAGATTGGACAGAACTCATCGGGCGCCCGATTGAATGTCCATCAGAAGCTTCGACGCGCCGCAGGGCAAGGCGCAGGACAAGAGACTCGCAAGGGCACTTCCTTCCTTTACTTTGGAGCGGAAGCCGTCGGCGGCGGCCGCGCCCAAACGGGCGGCGCTTCCGCCCCGAAAATTCATTGTGCGAAACGGAAACCGACGGCGGCGGCCTGTTCCAAACGGGCGGAGGGTCGGTGTCGAAAACGGCCAGCCGCACCCGTTTGTAAGGCGTCGGTTGCCTCGATTCTCGATCGCGGTGGAAAGGGGCGCTGGCGCGGGGGGGGGGGGGGGCGCGAGAAATCAAGGAGCGCTGCCGCGCATGCCCGCCCTCTGGGTGGGAGGGGCGCTCGACGTTCGCTGGGGGCCGTCGATCTTTGTCCTTTGAGACAACGGCTTGAAACGACGGCTGCGTTCTCAACGCCCCCCACGTATGTGTATATGTAATTATATATGTGCATGTATATGTCCATGTTTATGTATGTGTATATATGTATGTTTATGTATATGTATTTGTTTTTGTTTATGTTTATGTTTATGTATGTGTATATGTATATGTATATGTATAGCTATACGTATTTGTATACGTATATGTATATGTATACGTATATGTATATGTGTATGTATGTGTGTAGGTATTTGTATACGTATATGTATCCGTACATGCATAGGTATATGTTTATGTTTATGCATATGTATATGTATATGCATATGTATATGTATAAGCATATGTATATGTATATGTATATGTATATGTATATGTGTATGTGTATGTATATGTTTATGTATATATATACGTATATGTATATGTACATGTACATGTATATGTATATGTATATGTATATGTATTCGTATGTGTATAGGTATATGTATATGTATATGTATATCTTTATGTATATGTATATGTATACGTTTATGTATATGTATATGTATATGTATATGTATAGGTCTAGGTCTAGACCCAGGTCTAGGTATAGGTATAGGTATAGGTATAGGTATAGGTATGTGTATATGTATGTGTATATGTATATGTATATGTATATGTATATGTTTATGTATATGTATATGTTTATGTATATGTGTATGCATATGCATATACATGCATATGTATGTATGTATGTATATATTATATATCTCAGCATGTTTATCATGTGACATACAAACACTGATTGGTTCAGGGGGGATATATATATATTTACACACTATATACACCTATATATATGTATATATATATATATATTACATAT